TTGTTAAACCTTCCCAAAAAGGTTTGCCGTTCGCGTATCTCCGACTTGCAAGATATTTCTCATCAGTCCCATCTGTAGTATATGCCTTAAGGAAGTTTGGGCTTCCATTTGAGAAATCTTAGTTAGAGATATCGCATGTAATCGGCACGTAAAGAAACATTTAGACCTTACATGTCACTCGTAAACAAAATCCTTATCCCAATCTAACAGTAGTTTTTGAAAATCAAATTTGGTATAATCAAATTGCTTGCCCTATAACGCGACAAATTTTTTCGATTCTTATCTTCAAAACTTTCATCTAATTTAAAAAAGACCATTAAACTAATGCATTACATATTGATTTGACACAGAAGATAGAAAGAAGCGCGTAAATTACTATTTACATACATAGTTCTTCGATGCAGACAAAAAACCCGTCAATCACGAAAAACCCGTGATTGAAGCTACGGATGGACTCAACGTTTTGGGTAAGTGACCTGGTGGTAAGTGATAGTGAGATAAACCGCGTGCAGATCAAGGCAGCTTATGCTGCAGAGAGTTTGTGTGACACGTAGAACAACTGCATGCCGTGAACCAAGTCAATTAAGATGTTCAGGTAGCATGTCATACATTCCTTGAACCAAGTATCAGCATGTGTTTCACAACCTCTTGTGATCTATAAGATGCACTGAGGATTGCCCGATTTCTAAGTAAATTCTTTTAGGCATAATCGTATTTTGCATTGCGCTTGGTATCTCCTTGTCACAGCTGGGAGCCGAGGCTGACGTGATGATCCAATTCTTCGCTATTATGGACAAAGTTATCATGAAACTTGTTATGACAGTCATGTGGTGAGTTTTTGGGAACACTATGCGAGTGCAAAAGGACTCACAAGGTTGAGTTTTCTCTATGAGGACAACTTAAGATAATATATGAAATCAAATAATCGAAGTAAACGTCCATGTAGACGAGGTAATAGCACATACGAAAAAAAACAAAGTACGTGCGAATCTCTGTAATGGTGCGGTGGACAAAGAGCGTGAGCTTTCTGCAATTTAAATTTTGAGCACTTCTAGGTACTCTCCCTTTGGAATCATGTGTTTGATAATGGGCAAAATTCTGGAGATTCATGACTTGGCAGACACCGCAAGAATGCTAGCCATGTACATGGTCACAGTAAGTTCTTGGCACATCACAAGCTTTTTGCCCTTCTACATTTAAAGGCAACATATCTTGGAGCGAAGTGCTGGAACAGTTTCCAAGGGTTTACCTCGCAGCAGATGCTTTCAAAATTTTTTCCAATTTATAGCCAATAAATAATTTAGGTTCTCTCGGGGCTAGCAGTTCACGCACTCATCTCACTTCCTCTTCTTTTCTTCCTAACAACCAAGAAAAATCCGTATGGTTTCATGCGAGGGCTACTCCAAGCTTGGATCACTGCCTTGGGGACTGCCTCCAGGCATGTTCTGACTTCATCCTATCTTTCTGACCTCGATAATTCTCATCTTTTCAGTTCTGCCACTCTTCCAATTACTTACAATTGTCTAGAAGAAAACTTAGGCGTTGATCGAAGAGT